ATTATTTTGTACTGCCACAAGCATGCAAGATATGATTTATGAGTACCTTTTAAAATCACACTCACGATATTGCTGCTGCGGAGCACATTCGAGGCATGAAAGGGGGAAAACGTTTTCTCCAACATATCTTCATCAGTGATTTTTTGTCCACACAATGTTAATTTTGAACATATTCTGAATGGTTCAGAATTGTACTCACTAACAGTTTTGAAATCTTGCAAACGAAGATATATCCACTCATAACGGGCTTTGGGGAGGACTATAGTCCTCTGATGATCAAATCTTTCAGTAATTTTTTCCAAAAGACCTGTGGATCTTTTTCAGTGAGATGTTCAATTTTCAATCCATCGTGAAGAAGATGACGAAGGAAGATGAATGCTTTTGCACGATCTTGTAGGGATTTTTTGTTTTCTTCTTTTATTGTTTCTCCCAAACCTTTTGAGACAAGATGAATATCTGCATCGAGTACCCATGACAAATAATTTTTGCCAGATATGTCAAGTGCAGCAAACTCAAGTTTCGTGATATTTGCCATTTGATTTAACTACACAATAAAACAAAAGAAAATACAATCAGTTTTGAAGAATATGATTAAACATCAATAGACAATATTAATATGATATAAGTTACGTGTTTTCCTTTAGGGATAAACACTAATTTAAAATAATGTTCTTCGAAACATGGCTACTTCGGGAGCATGTTGTATTTTAACATTGTTTCTTCAAGAACAACATGTCAATATTTTTCTAGAATATTGAAAATTATAATTCATGCTCTTCAGGAGCAAGTAATATTCTTCCGGAATATTAATTATAATGTTGTGATACTTCAGGAGTAACAACATGATGAATTATTAATTTAAAGTTTATGAAACAACCTCAAAAACATTTAATCAAGTTAAAGACATAAATAGCATTTAATAATCATCATAAACGTATATATTTTACAAACGTAAAAAGAGAAAATAAAGCAATGAATATGTGATTTGGATTGAAAAAAGAGATATATTAACGTGAATTTTGATTAATGAAAAAAAAATTATGCATACAAACAAAAGAATAAAGACACGGTTGTGGCTATCCACAATTAAGCAATAATAAAATAATTTCATTCAAAATTAACCCTGATTCATAAACTCTAAACTCACGTAATTAAAACACAAATTCTATGAGGGCATGTACAAAGAAACGAAGGTGCATGAATTATAGCAAAGATACAATTCCGTGTAAATTCACACAGTTGATTGCAGCAGAAAAAAAATATGTCAGATTCCGTGTAAATTGCAGTAGACTCAAATTGAATTCACGTACACATGTATAAATAAAAAAATTCACATTTCACCAAATTGATGTTGGTACATGTGATAGATAATTATGTTTATAAAAATTACTACCTTCTAACCGATGTACTTTGATTTTTGAGAGAATCGTGTTGATAACATGTTATTGAAAATAAATACGTGTTATTGAATAATTTTGAAAATAAATACGTGTTATCGAAAAGATATCTTACTACCTTTTAACTGATGAATTTGAATAATTTATTTACTTATAAAATAATTGAATAACTCCCAAAACATGTGTATATGAATTCGATGACTTAATGTTAATTAGTATACATGCACATACTAGATTAATTGAATTGTAGTATTTCTAGAGTCATTGAACAGCCCCAAAAATATATAAAGTGTAAATCAATGAATTTGAAGAATTAATTGATTGAATTACAGTAGGATATATATAAATTAATGTTAATTATTATCACACACACAAATAAATAATTGAATTGTATAAAAAGTTCATTTCACATAAACAGTTTTTTTTAACTATTTTTTATATTAACTGATTTTCAAATATAATTTTTACAGCGTTTATAAAATATTTCAAAATAGCGTGCATCGCACGTTTAGCTGTGATTAGTACAAGGAAAAGAAGGTAAACAAAAAAAATTCTATTGCAAGAAGTGTGATTGTTCACTTGCTCTTACATGAATGTGCAATAAACACTCGTAATTTGCGAATAATATTGAAATTGCAAAAGAGCACGGCTAGGATTATTATAAAAAAAAGATAAACAAATGATCTAACTCTGGAGAACAAGACTCTTTCCAAGAATAATGTCGTCTGTCTCGAAATCAGCTTCTTTCCTAAATGTGCCCCGACCAAAGTCTAGGTTGTAAGAGTCTGCAAGACCTTCGACTAGGTCGAATTCCGGTTTCCACCCCAGCACACTCTTTGCCTTTTCGATTGATGTAAAGAAGTGCTGCATTTACATCAAGAAAATTTAAGATTTTATATATTAAAATAAAGAAGGAAACTTTAACTTGTAAAACCTTCAATTTTCGACGGCCTTGTTGTTTTCACTAGCAGATTGTCATATGAGCAGTTTTAAGATATCTTTTCGATAAGTATATGAATGAGCACAAATTTACCTGGTCTCGGAAGGGAAATGGTTTCTTTTTACCAAAATCGAACTCCTTGGCATTGTAGTGAATAATTTCAGGCTCAGGGAATCCGGCAGCCTGTTAGAAATATTCAGAAAATCACTCCATTCAGTAAGCTAAAAGACACTCGTCTTTCAGGAATATGCTTATTGGTCAGACCTACCTTAGCGCACGCCTTAGCTAATCCATCGAAGGTAACATATTTCTCACCGGAGATGTTAAATATTTGCTTGCTTGCTTTTTCATTACCAAGAACCTGAATAAAAGCCTTCGCCAGATCCTAAAAATTTAATGGAATAACTTAAAAAGTCAGTTTCACTTGCATTTACATAAAATTTTCAAGTCTCACCATTACTTATTTGTGAAAATTGTGCATGTACGAGGCCTTTGAAGAAAAATGAATGTGCCATGCATGAGAAAATCGTGTTGAAGACAATTTAAGGTTTTTAGATGAAGCAATTTAACGTGAGGGAGAGCAGTAACGAAGCCACATATTGAAGCTATCAAACTACCTAGAGTAATGAAGAAACGGTGGTGAGCAAATTATAGAACTCCTAAACTAGATTGTTGTGTGGAAGTCCCAAATTGAGTTCTAGGCAAAATGTATAAGGGAGACAGAGAAAAAGAAATTTATATCGTTCAGCACTTTAGACTACATCCATGGGCAGAGATCACTTGACATAGATGATAATAAATAGTTTGTTCTTGTGAAACTCAGTTTTGGATTTTGTTAAATTGTTGAAATCTTCACCAACCTTCACATGACCAAGCTGTGTTACTTGCATTCCTGAACTGGGAATTGGAATAGGGCGACCTGCTTTTAACCGGTGGAAGAACCATTCTTCAACAGGATTGTAGTTCAATGGCCCATAGATGTAAACTGGCCTCAGAGAAGTATAATTTACACCTCGTGATTCCAACAAGCTCTCTGTCTCGAGCTTGCCCTTGTGTCGGCTCTTTGGATCTACTGCGTCAACCTTCAATCAGGAACAGAGAAAATAGCACAGATAGTAAGGGAGACACCATTAAAATCAAAGCAAATGCAAAAGATTCATAGAAATTAATGAACAGCTAGCAAAAATAAAGTGGAGATAGAATACAAACCTCAAAATGTGGTAGATAATCAGTTTTGAGGTAAACACCTGCTGAAGAGCAGTAGATGTACCTGTAAATTCAGTTGAACTAGATTAGTAGGGTTCTATAGAATCTAAAGTCCAACATACATCAGAAACAAAAGCTTTAATCAAGTTAAATGATCGACAAAGGCAAAGTTCATTCAATCAATACCATAACAAGAAACAGTCCACCAAGCACTGTAAAATATTTGCAGTCACGTTATTGTACAATTATTTTAATTCTGAACTGTTAGCTCCATTTTTACACTTAAAGCACCAACCAGAGAGAGACAAAATCCAAAATATTTGATATATGTAAACGCCAACAAGGCCGGCCTCGTCAATATATGATATGTCTTGAGATGCATAACTTCAGCCACTTCGGGTTAGAAGCTTACTGTTCCAGATTTGGTAATGCATCCAATATGGGCTCTACTTCAACTGCTTCTCGTCCTGAAATCACAACGCAAAGATGCATAAGGAACGTAAATTTAAGTGCATACTATCTAATTCTCCCAACCAAGAACATCGCCATTATTCATAGAGCAAGAACTGAATATATCATTGATACGTGCATGAAGGACGCGTAATATTAATTGGAGAGCGATCCTCTCACCATTTATATCATAAACGACATCGAATCCTTCGGCTGAAAGGCTGCTTTTCACAAATTCAAAGTCCTTCCTGTCTCCCTTCAGGTGCAAGATCTATACAAAGAAAATGTTATTTAATTCATCCATTCAATGAGAGAACAGTATGGGAGCACTTGCAACATGTTTCTTATGGTATTAGATAAGATTTACGATAGACAATTTCTTCTTTAATATTGTTTAGTACTGTCGAGTTGACCCTACCAAGCATGTTTCATGTTCTGCATGAACATACCTTGGATGAAAAATCAGAAAAATCTGTGTCTGATTCACCAGGCAATTGCTGGGTAATGGGTGCTTTTCCTCTTGTGAACAGAGTGACCTGCACTTATACCAAGTACTTAAATCCTTCAATTATTGGTATGTGTAATAGTGATTTTTTAAGGACGTCGACAAAACCTGATGTCCCTCTTTGACGAGAAGTCTGGACAAAAATACACCAATAAATCGGGTGCCTCCCATGATTAGAATTTTCTTCGCACTTGATGCCGTGACACACAATGCTCCTTTTGGCTGCCATATTTTCCTTTTATACTACAGAAAAATATTGACAAGGATAGCATTAGAATTACCTCCACACCATTTGTATAATTGTATACAGAACAAACAGTTTATGAAAAGGGGATATTCTCAATTGAGTGCTTAATATATCAAACTTGCAACGTTGGTAACTAATTACCCTTCATCTCCTATAAGTCGAAGCATTGGCTGAATATTTTAAACCATTTGGGTATTAAAACAAGATCTCATTAGTTGGATTTTTCGTAAACTTAATCAAATGAACACTACTCTCTCGAACCACCTTAATCTCTTAGACAAGACGAGTAAGTGGTGTCAAACTGGTAAATGTCCCAATCCATGTCTCGTTCTTACTCATTTATAAAAATTGTGTGCTCATTACATCTTTCACGAAAAAAAAGGTGAATTTGAGTAGTGTATGAGAAGGGCGCCTTAAAACAAGTTTTCGACAAATAATCATGCCCAATTTCAAACCTTAAATAGACACAAGGAATATTTAGTGCTAGACTCAAGGTATTAAGTCTCCTATTTTCATGTCAATCTTATTAAGAAAAAAAATACACCAAGTTAACAATCATCTTTAGTCAAGGTGGGATATTAATTTCAAGAAAAGTAAAAACACACTTACACACAGGATCATATGTTTATATCAAGAGGGACTACCTGAACTGAGGCGGCGAGTCGGGCGCCATTGAAGTCGGAAAATGACGACTGAAGGACGGCGGAAGACGGCTGCTTGTGTTGTACCACCACCAGACTTGCCATGATTAATTCCTAGTTCCTACACCACCACTCTTCGTTTGAGGGTCCTCTGTTTGAAATAAAAATTTTAAGGGCTCTGATTTTTTCTATCTCTGTCTGCTTTATATTTTGATTTTCTCTCATTCTTACAATTGAGATAAGACAATGGCTTCACTCTCACCACAACTTCTGTTATATCCATATGTGCACACTCTTGTTTCGAACTTGACCGTGGGCTCCTTCCATACTGTTAGCGTGAAAAGACTACTTTGCCCTGAGAAAGACACAATTTGGGCCCCCATTGAGAAGGCACAGCCCAATTTCCAATTTTATGTGAAATGGCTTCTTCTTATTTTTAATATTCCCAAACTATCCTTCGTAGTCTGACCTTCGAGTTGGAATTGAGATAAACAAAGGAGCATGTTTGGCTACGCTTGTACTTATTTGTGACTCAACCATGAAAGTTTCATTTGATGTGGTTTTGTACTTAAAGTTGAACTTTTTTCCTATAAATGGGATTGTCTTAGCTTGCTTCACTGACGCACTACCTGTTCCAAGTTGTTCATGAGGGGATCACGTTTTTGGCCTGCACCCAAGTTGAAATGCCACCTTTGATGGCAATTGAGGTGGGTACTCATGGGCTGCAATTTTTGTTCTAACTATTGTTATGATAAAATCATAATTTTCGTTGTACTCTTGGAGATGAATAATTGCATGATGAAAGTGTCTTGCAATGCCCATAACTGGAATTCTTGAAATGATGTACTTGATATATATATTTCAAGTTATCCATTATCTTGTGATATTGGAAGGCTTTCATAGATGACGCTATCACTGTCACATTCTTCTGATATGGGGTAGTGCAGCACTGGAGCTGCCATAATAGTTTTGTATTGTTGTATAATAGTTTGAGCACTAAACGGATCAAGCCAAACCAGTTAAGCTGGAGATTTTCAACATTCTGCTGGAACCTACGTTTATGTTCTGTCATATCTTCTTATGTTTGAACAGCCTGTATTTGAAGTAACGTATATAAAAAATTTAGCACTTTAAAAGAATTTATGATTTTAGAAGAGAAACATAGATGTGGGAAAAGTGTGAATTTAAGAGAAGAATCCAAAATAATTTTTTTTTTTTGATAACCATGGTCCGGGCCAGCTTGCGCGTACCTCGACTAATTCCACGGGACCCTAAAGTTTACAGCCGGATGCTCACCTCAATGGCCTTGAGGGAACTCGAACTGGTGTCCATTGGAAGAATTCCAAAATAATATAATGTTTAAGAGTAATAAGAAATACAAAAGTTAAAATTTATCTCAAAGTTTATGTGATTATCATGTTCATGAAGAGGTAACTCTTGATCGAATTTATTGAGAATACAAATTAGCTTGTTGATGTTGTTCTTTGTTGTGTTTTATATGCAAACAAGTATGAAAGATGTGTTGAAAAAACTGGAAAAATGGCTGACTTTGGCACTAATTTTGAGCGGGACCCGCTTGGCTATTTTGAAAGATGAAAGTTGATTTGTGTTCTCCTCCGTGAGTACATCGAAATCATATACTTACTTGTCAAAAATGATGCTCGGGTGAATGAGAAATTGAANACCCGCTTGACTATTTTGAAAAATGAAAGTTGATTTGTGTTCTCCTCCGTGAGTACATCGAAATCACATACTTACTTGTCAAAAATGATGTTCAGGTGAATGAGAAATTGAAACTCAAAGTATGCCATGTAAAATGAGTTTGTTGGTGAGAAAATAGATATTTAAACTTTGTCCTACAAAGGAAGTGGATGAAAGTTAAAACCGCTTTATAAAGGATTGCACTTTAAAATGGTGTAATCATGTGTAGCATAGACTCTCTCCACGTGCGCGAGCAGGGGGGTGCAAATCTTGGACCGAAATTGGCGTCGGACCTTGAACTTGTGTGCGAGCGCGACCTACGTACACGAATGTCGGACCGAAAGGAGCAAAATTGGCCCCTTACGAGTGTCCACGTTTTGCTACATTTTTTAATTTTTTCAATAGACTTTTGGTTTTCCAAAACTGTTGAAACCCCAAAACTCCTGTTGTAATTGTTATGAATTGAATGAGTAGGTTACACGCCAGTCTATATTATTGTGCATCGGTTTTCCACGCTGAGTACACGAAAAAAAAAATCATTTGCATATTCATCTGGACACAGTTTGAGTCTGCCTTAGTTTTTACTTTCTGTGTCTGTCTGGTTTGGTGATATTGTTCGGGCACTGGTTTAATTTGTCGGAGTACAATCTGTGGTGCTCAAATTATACTGTATCGTCGTTGTATCTTGGGACACAGACGCTCTGTTAAACCTCAAGCACAAACGGTGAGGGAGCGAATCTGTTTTAAACTTATAGGAAAATTGTTTCAAAGTTATTGAATCTGCTACTGCGAATCCGATATCCAATATTGAAACAATTTCCCTACAAGATGATAGTATTTTTTTGTGTTTACTCCATTTCTAGATGAACGAAAGAAAACTATATGAAAAGCCCCTGGTCAACCGCATATTGAGCTGCAAATGAAATGACTAATTTCATTTGCAATACTAATAATAACAAACTTGTTTGCCAACCATACATGTATATTCACTCATTCCTGGTTTGCATTGCATTTTGATGCAACAACTGCCCCAGATATTTTCTCTTTTCTATCTCCAGAAAGCATTTGTCTTGTAGTTTGATTATGAATATTGTGGTATTCAATAGTTCTTTGAAATGTATTTTTCTTGGGACTTTTTTCAGATTCTGGGTAAAAAAGGAAAAGTAGAGGGTGCATAATGTAGGATTTCTCACTTTTGTATTTGGTTAGGTAGAGGGAACAGAAGTCAAGGAGGATACTTCAATGCTCCATTGCATAATTTGAGTCTGACTCTAAAACTTCCATAAATTAAGCTCATCAAAATGGTGGAATGTAATACAATATAATTTTGTTTCAATATCATTCAATATGTAATCTGGATTTCATGAGACGCAATACAATGGTTATGAAAACAGGTCTTATGATGTGCAGTAGTGCTGCCATCCTAGATTGAAGAAGTGTCCCATCTTTAACTTTGGGAATCCTAAATCATGCCGATGTCCAAGTGACAGGATTATTTCTATGGATATCTTTCTTTTAGTTGACCTTTATCTTTCTATGCTACACCATATCAAGCAGAATGCTATAGATGCCACCATATTTGCATTAATCAGCAACACTCATTGTGATGTTTTGTTTGATTTCTAGTTTCTTTCTGGGGCAACTGTTGTCCTTTCAGATTATCTTGGCAGCTTGATCGAGGATTTGATAAAGGACAACTTTGTTATAGTCTACGGGGTATAACATTTTCTATTTCAGTGAATTTAAGTATGAATTGCTCCTGAATTGTCATGGATTTATTTAATACTACACCTATATGTACTTCTAAACATTTTTTGCTGTGCATTTTAAATTGTAAATCAAGTTATTTACTTTACTGTGACAGAAACTATGGTTGGAATTTGCTTATCGTTCTTGATTATAATATTAATCAGAATTAAGCTATGTGTACACATAGCACAACCCATGTTAATTAAGTTATTTCATAGATTTGTCAAGTGAAAATCTGTTGCTACGTTTGGTTGGTCTTTGATGTCTGTGAGTCTGTGACCACATGCTGGTCATGTCGTCGTACAATGCACAACACTTCAAAATATTTTTTCAGCAATTTGTCTATGTATTTATTCTACTCTTACAGTTTACCATCGTGATCATTTATTTATGCATTGGAACTCTGCTTTTAATTTTGTAAGATCATGACTGATGGCTAATCATGATTGTTTATTCACACATTGAAGCTCTCCGAAGTGGATAGTTTGATTGACCCTGACAAGACAAAGATTAAAAGGACAACCAACATTAATGTCCCTTTTTTTTTTGTAATTCTTACAGTAGAAGCTTCTGTGAAGGGAAGTGATTTCATAAAAAATTGTAACTATTTCCAGAACAAAATTTATTTTGTTTTGCCGTAGTTTGGAAAGATAATTCAAAAGCAGATATGTTATATTCCTCACCCTTTTGTTTTGGGTCTAAATCTGAATGGCTAGTTATAAATGTGCTCCGCTTTTTGGCACCTAAGCTCCATGCTTGTGAATGCAATGATTGAGCTCAGGTATATATTTTGCAGTGCATTTATAATCTCTCAACTTGAATTCATGTTCAATTTAGGTAAACTAATAATTTTCCTGCCTCACTATTTTCTTTCTTAAAAATCGAAAATAGAAGGAAAATAATGTAAAACTTTCACCAAGGTGCCATTATAGATATGTTGTTCTTGTTTGCCTACTTGGTACAGACTGTCACGTTAACTTCTTTGTGCAACCCTGGTGCTGCAATTCTTTCTGTTAATCCATTTAACTGAAAGCTGGTTGAAGCCAATAGTATTTACCTCTGTATGGATTAGCATATACTCAATAGTATTATCTATATGAATGACTAGTAATCACAAACTCCTAAAGTTAAAAAGTTAGCAGGACATTTTTTACAACAGGAATTGCTTCTACTTCTCACTATTCATGGACTCAGCTTCTATCCCATACCTTGACTAGGTTCTGTTTACAAATCTCTTTCATCTTCTCCCTCAGTTTCTCTGGTGGTCCCACTGACGAGAATCTTCATTAATTTTTTTGCAATTTGCATTGTAGCTGCTGGATGAGATGATAGACAATGGCTTCCCCTTAACAACAGAACCTAATATCCTGAGGGAAATGATAGCTCCTCCGAACATTGTCAGCAAGGTTTTGAGTTTTATCACTGGTAATGTTTGTAATGTGAGCAACACCCTTCCAGGTGCGACAGCATCTTGTGTTCCATGGAGATAAACAGACCTGAAGCATTCAAGCAACAAAGTTTATGTTGATCTTGTTGAAGAAATGGATGCAATATAAATTTCAATCAAAACACTCCATAGTCTGATTCCCATGTTTTGATTAGCTTTCTGAATTTAGGAAATTTATACTATTGAATGTGCTAAACTCATCCTTTTATTTAGAAGTTGTAAGTTTAATGTGAGGGACCAGATAGTATATCACCAAGCATGCATAGAAGAGGATCCCACCAAGTGTAGATAATTGACAGTACTATGTAATGGCCATGTGATGCATGTTAGGCTCATGAAAACTGCAACAATTATTTTATTTCCAGTCATATATGACACTTAAATTTTCTGGAACCGAAGGAATAAAACATCAAATAAATGGTTCAGGTTTATTTGAGCTGCAACTCCTAAGAACATCATTCACAATAATTATTCCTTGACATGTTGCTTCCCAATTCCTTTGGATGTGATCTTCCTGGTAATACCTGGCACTTTGACATGCAATGACATTATAATTTGGAGTCTAATGATGAAATTTGGAATTACTTTTATGGGTTACTTTACTAAGGATTTTTTTGTAGAAATTTGCTACTTTTTGCGGTTCCATTTCTGAACTTGCTTACTTTTTCTTTGTTTTGATGCTGCTCAGAGATGGAACTTTGGTGAAATGTGTGATGTATGGCGAAGTTCAAGTAAATTCCATCTTTCATATCTCCCCGATCTCACTCTGTCATTTGTAAATCCTTCCATTCTTAATGACGTGAGGTTTCATCCTTGTGTTAGACTTCGACTGTGGGAAGCAAACCAAATTCTATCCTTTGTGCCACCTGATGGAGAATTTAAGCTCTTGAGATACAGGTTTATGGTGCTATGGAAATAATGTGTACTTATTTAATGATTTTCATAATTTAGGCTCATAGTCATATCATAATACGAGATCTACTCTTTAACATTTGTCTCGATCTCTCAGGGTTAAGAAGTTAAAGAGCACTCCAATATATGTAAATCCACAACTGAGCTTGGACTCAGGGACGTGTCTTATCAGTGTTTTAGTGGGAATACGAAATGATCCTGGGAAGTCAATTGGCTCAATAACAGTTCAATTCTGACTGCCTCCTTGTGTTTTATCTGCCAATCTATCTACAAACCATGGAACAGTAAACATCCTTGCAGATAAGGTACTGAGCTTGGCATGTTGTAATTTGGATTAGAAAAACTGTTAATCACCCTGCTTATACTACTGTTTCATTTTAGTCACTGAACTTTTTTGTGTTTTTGAGTTAGTCAACTTCCATTTTCATTTTTGCTTAGGCACTCTGTCTGTTGAATAACAAAAGCAATGACTAGGCACAAAATATCAATTGGTGAATTATTTTTTTCACTAGGTAAAAATGTGTCTTGCTGGACAAGTAGTGCTTTTCCTTTTTCCTTTTTTTTTTTCCCCTTTATACAATGCATTCCAAAACACGCTTTTTTGTCTATCTGAACCATAAAAAATCAAAAATAATGTAGTGACGGATTTTATATATTGCATTTCCACCTCAGCAATCCCGTTAAATCAGTAGGACAGAGTGCCTAAATGAAACAAAAATGAAAATTCAGTGATTAACAAGGGAAAAAAAAATTTGGTGACCAGAGAAAAAAGGCTGTAAGTTGGGCGACTGGGCGACTAGCAGTATTATTAGTGCATGGTCATTTATGAACAGTTTGATATATTCTCTCTTGCTGGGGGGTATAGTCAAGCCATAACTATAGGATCAGGCATGTCTTCAAGTAGGACAATTTTCCTGTCTTCCAAAATTTTTATCTTATGGGATTTTCGAAATACTTTAGATTAACAGTCCATCATCATGATAGAGCTTGTAATTGTAATTATCAATTCTTGACGACATGGTGTCCGTTTTCTGCAGACCATATATATGATCAAGGCATGATATGTTTCCGAAAATTTGTTATCTTATGTGACTTTTGAAAACTTTAGATTAGTGTTGTCTATTTGATTCTGATTACAATTTTCGCAAACTTGCTCTTTGTCAATTGGATGGATTCCGAAAGATAAAGCTCCTTCAATGTCGGGAACAATGGCACTCGAGACAGGCTTAAGAGCGGCTCAAAGTGTTTCCCGCCTTTCAAGTGAATTTCAAGATTATGGGCGTTGCTCTCTCTGGCTTACAGATCGATAAATTTTTTCTGAAGAATTTACCTTCACGTCCTTATAAAGGTTTCCGAGCTCTTACCAGGGCAGGTGAATTTGAAGTGAGGTCGTAATGTTATTGGTGTCATTTCTGATGGTGCTATTGAATAGAATAATGTTACTCATCCCCAGTGAGGTTACAAACACAGTCAGATGGCTCTAAATAATAGGTTAAATGAAATGTGAAACTAAATGAGTCATTAGAACCACCTAAACTGTGTTTATAACCCCAATGGGAATGAATAACATTACTCTATTGAATATGGTCTATACTACATAATAAACATGCTTGAGTTTGTATTGTCAACCTTTGACCAATTCATCCAGTTTCCGTAGTTTGTGTACTCGTCAGATTGTTAGATTTCGTCTTGATTTTAATGAAGCATTTATTAACATGTGCATGTGTGAGTCCCCTTTTTTTTTTGTCCAAAATGAGGAAAATATTAGGTTTGCATGTAATACTCCCCCGTCCCAATTATATAGGCCTGTTTTGTTTTCGCACGAATTAAGAAAGTTTCTTTAATGTTAGGCCCCGTTTGATAGCAACTATTTTCCAAGCAAGATGGAAATTATCTCGTCATTTTCCATCTTTGGGCTTGTTTGATTTCAAATATTTTCCAAGCAATTTGTTTTCTCATTTCTGGTCACGTACCCACAAAATTAAGGAATTGATTTTCCCATGGTAGAGGTCGGTTTTCATTTTCTTGGCAATCGGCAAAACAAACCCTCCCCTTTCTCTTTCTTCTCACAATGTCATCGCCAGGGTCGAGGTCACTGCCGGGTTCCAAGAAATGTCACTGCTCTTGCGCCACCTCCCCAGTTCGGTTCTCCTACTCGCCGCCGAGGAGTCTTATCGATCAACTGGGAGGCTGAGAAGAAGTTGAGGAGGGGAGTGAAGTCGTAGTGAGGGTTTTGGAGGGAAGCGATGTTGTATGGGTCGCTCTCTAATTCTTCATATTCTTGGTTGCGGATTTTGGCGCTGGTGGAAGAGGCGGAAGAATGAGTGGAAAAGAGTGGAGTTCGAAGGAGAAGAAGATGGTGCTAGTGGCGGCGGAGGGAGATCTGGTGCTGCTGGTGGAGTTAATTGTGGATTTTGGATCGAATATGGTGGATAAATCGGCTTTTGTATTGAGCTGCTGGTGGAGTTAATGGCGGCTTTACTGGTATCAGTGCTGGAAGCCTAAGCGACAGTGGTGGAGGAAGGCGAGATTGCAGTACTTGTGAAAATAGTGGAGGTGGGAACTTAATGGCAGAAGGAGATTGCTATAAAAAAAAGTGGAAAATTAAAGTCAGTCAAACATCAAAAGATGGAAAATTTCAACATTTTACAAGTGGAAAATTATACCAATCAAACACAAGTAATTGACAATTCCCTGTAAAATGAATTCTAGGCAATTCAATTCCTGAAATTCATTTTCTTTCCACTCAAATTTCATCCTTACAATCAAACAGACTCTTATTGAAAAATTAATTTTTGTCAAGATCTTTCATAGTTTACCCCTATTTAATTTTAATTATGTAAAAATAAATTATTGTTGGAATTAATAAATAATTTTAAAAAAAAANTGGAACTAATAAAGAATTTGAAAAAGAAGAAGAAGAAATGAGAGTTGTTCCATGTTTCTAAGAAGTGAGAAATGTGTGTATTTGGATGATTTCAAGAAGTTGACATATTAAGTGGGAAAAATTTAATAAGAGTATATTGGTAAAAGAATACAACAAAATATTTTACATTAGGAAACATGCCTATATATTTGGGACGAGAAAAATGAAACTCAGCCTATATCATTGGGACGGAGGGAGCATTGTTTTATCGAAGAATGTGGTTGAAAAAAAGAGAGAAAAATGTATTTTAGAAATAACGTTGACCAAACAACCATGTTGATTTATGTGATTTATGTGATTTTTATTTTCTTTTTCTTTCTGAAATAGAACGAAGGCAAGACAAAATGGGCATAGTAACACATTTATTTCAAAGAATGATGCTCATGGTTTGTCGCCCATTTAATTTTGGGGAGTTTTCGAATGGAACCAAAGTCGTTGCATTTTAACTACGGCAATTTTTGAAAGCTTTTCAACATATGGCCAAATATACACACTCTGTTTGGTAAAGATTAAAATTCATATGTTAATTTAAGTCAAAGTCAACAATTAATTTTAACCATATATTTCATGTGACTCACAATATTTCAGTTACACATTTAATTATCTTTTATCAAAATCTACTAAAAATCTGATTTTTATTCCTTCTAAATAGGAGCATAATGTGAATTATACTCTTTTGTAAAAATGACTTGAATCTTTTGGTGGAACAAAAGTCAATGCACAAATCTTGAAACACTTTATCTCCTAATATATAGTTGATATAGTGAAGGCCACCAAAAAGTAAATAGAGTAGGATTTGTAAATACACCACATTGGAGTATTCTCAATACACCAAATTAGGTTTTGGTCACTATAGGCTGTTAGGCGTTGGAGTTGGATGGTTGAGTGAATTCGGGAATATAAGAGGTTGTTCTCTTTGTATTTCAGTTTTGTGTTTTGAGTTTTGAATTCATTTTGAGTTTTCTTTGTAAATTTTTAACTTGTTTTCAAAAACGCGTTTTCGAAAATAGGAAAGAGAACTCGTTTTCACTGTTTTGAAAAATCGAAAATAAAAAACGACTTGAAAATGGTAAAGAGAACAGAGCCTAAATATTTCTGGTTTTTGGACTAAAATGGTCCGAGGTCATCCTTTTGTCATACAATTTTGAAAGGTATAGGACCTCCGTTGCATATTTTTGAAATGTATGAAACTCCAATGCAAAATTTTCCTTTTTAATCAATTCAAGTTTTGGATGTAATTTGCACATTTTTGAAATGTTTGGGACCTCCACTGCAATATTAAAATATCAATTGGACACGAATATTCTAACCTGTTTCGTAATTTCCTTCTGTTTCGTATTATACCGCATTTTCTTAACATTTCGTAATTTATTGCCATTTTTTCACCAGTGCCACAACAAAAAATTTCTTAGCAATTCGTAAACATTAAGAAAGACAAGAAATGTTGGGAGCCTTGTTTACATAATGCATCAAAAATGACTGCAAGAAGAGTTGCTCAGTTCCATCAAATTCCTCAAACTATCATAAATTCTCTTCATCGGCCACAGAATTCATCCACCCATTTGAACCCACAATTTGTAGCTAAACCTCCTTCAATTTTAGCAACTGATCTCATCAAGTCGTACTTTGAGAAGGGATTGGTTAAAGAAGCTCGTGTATTGTTCGATGAAATGCCTGAACGAGACGTGGTTGCTTGGTCTTCTATGATCAGTGGCTACGCCTCGTGCAACCTCTATAATCGTGCATGGACGATGTTCTACGAGATGATGAAGGATGGTGTCAAAGTGCAACCTAACCAGTTCACGTTCTCTAGCGTACTTAAGGCTTGTAAAGGCATGCGGTCGCTGTCTTGTGGTGCATTGACTCATGGATTGGCTCTTAAGCATAGCATGCATGGGAGTGTGTACGTTGATAATGCGCTCATGGACATGTATGCGACGTGTTGTGGTGGAATGGAGGACGCATTCATGGTTTTCGAGGAGATAAGCGTTAAGAATGCAGTGTCATGGACTACATTGATAGCTGGTTACACCCACCAAGGCAATGGTCGTGGAGGACTTCGAGTTTTTAGACAAATGATACTGGTACGTATATTGACCTGTCTGATCATGCATAATATCTGTTGGCACATAAAAAGACAAAAATTACATACAAGAAATTTTCTGCACACTGAATCCCCTCGCTTATTTTTTGATACTCTAATAAGCAAATTCCATCATATACAAGATTTTAAGTTGGTTCAATTAGCATGTTTTCTCATACCTGTGTGAACAGGAGGAGGCTGAACCAAATCCATACAGCTTTTCAATTGCTGTTAGAGCTTGTGCCTCAATTCGCTCACACAGCTATGGAAAGCAGATACATGCTGCAGTGGTGAAGCATGGATTTGAATCCAGTATTCCTGTAATGAATTCAATATTAGACATGTATTGTAGCTGTAGTCATTTGAGTGAAGCAGATCAATGTTTTCATGGAATGCCCAAGAGAGATATAATCACATGGAACACTTTGATTGCGGGACATGAAAAATCTGATCCCTACGAGTGTCTCAACCACTACTCTGTTATGGAGTCAGAAGGTATCACTCCAAATTGCTTTACATTTACTAGCGTTATAGCTGCTGCAGCTAACATGGCATTATTGAGTTTTGGAGAGCCGGTTCATGGTAAAATTTTAAGAAGAGGCCTAGGAAATGACTTGGCAGTAGCTAATGCTTTGATAGACATGTATGCGAAATGTGGAAGCATTGTGAATTCGTTCAAGATTTTCAATGGAATGTGTGATAAGAATATTGTTTCATGGACCTCTATGCTGATTGGATATGGTAGTCATGGGCATGGAGAAGAAGCTGTTAAACTTTTTGAACAGATGATTCATTCTGGAATTAGACCTGATAGAATCGTGTTTGTGGCAGTTCTGCATGCATGTAGCCATGCTGGACTAGTCGATGAGGGTTTAAGGTATTTCCAATCAATGTTTAGTGATTATAATATCACCCCGGATCAAGATATTTATGGGTGCGTTGTGGATTTGCTAGGACGTGCTGGGCGAGTTAAGGAAGCTTATGAGCTGATAGAATCTATGCCATTTATGCCTGATGAGTCCGTTTGGGGAGTATTTCTCGGAGCCGGTAAAGCACATAAGCTTGCAGAGTTGGGAAAATTAGCAGTGAGCAAGGTATTAGATTTGAGGCCAAATGTTGCAGGGACGTATATGATGTTGTCAAACATATACGCGTCTGATGGTAAGTGGGGAGATTCTGCCAAAATGAGGAAATTAATGAGAAGAATGGTGAATAAGAAAGAGCCGGGGAGAAGTTGGATTGAGGTGAGGAATCAAATCTACAGTTTTGTTGCGGGAGATAGGTTGGGTTCCCATGTCGAGTCGGTCTATGAAGTTGTCGATACTCTGGTTCTGCATATGAAAGAAATAGAATGTATTCTCGATTTACATTGCTTAGTACGTAACTTAGAAGATGGAACTTGAAGACGAGCTGCCATTGAGAAGTACATGATAGTGTCAAGTGAAACAAATGCCGGGTTTGGTTATATTTATTTTGACCGACATCTGGAGCAAGACGAATTCATTCGAATATTTGATATTCGAATGAATCAAATTGACAAACTGATCTTTTGTTGCAATTGTAAATTTAACATGCTATATAATTTTTATTTATATATGTATTCAGTAAAACAATGAGGTGACAATGTTATTAAACAATTAAAAATTTTGTAGTGACTTCAATTGTGTATGAAGATAATGCAGTTTCTTTACATAGCATTGTTCATTCTTTACCCTTATTTATGTTATGGATTACTTTCAGTAGTTCTCCCACCCCCTCCTGTTACACCTATCCCTTCACTCCCCAGGGATTCCGGACAGCTAGACAATCAAGGTTCATCGCTCGGAGGGAGGGAAATGATAGTGTCAAGTGAAACAAATGCCGGGTTTGGTTATATTTATTTTGACCGACATCTGGAGCAAGACGAATTCATTCGAATATTTGATATTCGAATGAATCAAATTGACAAACTGATCTTTTGTTGCAATTGTAAATTTAACATGCTATATAATTTTTATTTATATATGTATTCAGTAAAACAATGAGGTGACAATGTTATTAAACAATTAAAAATTTTGTAGTGACTTCAATTGTGTATGAAGATAATGCAGTTTCTTTACATAGCATTGTTCATTCTTTACCCTTATTTATGTTATGGATTACTTTCAGTAGTTCTTCCATTCAAAATGTTCATTGCTCAGAGGGAGGGAATAGAAGCATATTCTGTTACTAGGTAATGAAACGGTATGCAAAGGAAGTTTCTTTCATGAGAATGGCAGTCTCGAGCACTCTCATACTTATTGAGCATGCTACTTTTATAGGCAACTTTTCACACAATCTTCAATGTAGATATGCTCTACTTTTTAGAAATATCACATACAATCTTTCATGTGACTGAGTGAGGAGAAGGGGGCGAAGATCTGTAACTTTCACATACATGCTCAGTGAATTAGGGGGAAAAAATGAAGAGAAGATTTTTAGTACTCTCATAGTATGAAAACTCGATACTTCCTACCACCATTTTATTGTCATGTGTTAATTATCTCTGTTTGGATCCGACTGATAGTAGGTCTCAATTATTCAATACACATGTCAATTAAATAATGAAGTAATTACCGAGCATGTACTTCGAAAGTACTAAAATCTTTTCCAAATAAACTCCGAGATATTCAACACTATTAAAGAAGAGAAAAAATTACTAAAATCTCGTCCATTTTATTGTTTCAAACTTGTCTCATTCTATATACCACACATTTTATGAAAAACCTTGGCGTCTTTCTTCCGGTAACCATAAATAAAAATAAAACCTCCTATACAGCTATACGCTCATGCAATACTCTCAATTAATGTAGCATGTTCAAGTGCACGCTCTTACACTCTTCAATTAATTACATTTCTCAATTCAAATTCTATGATCATATACTGATTCAAACATCGAGTGTCATGAATTACCCATGACCGTTTTCATACATTATTTGTTGTGGTTCCTTAGTTATATTTTCTTGACCATTTGTCTCATTTTTATATAGATTTTTCCCTTTTATAAATCACTTTAATTGTATTGTTATTACAGCTAATTACTCCTGCATTTTACTTTTAACACAATTTTTTTATCAACCCTAGAATGTCAACAGGGGTACTTGTAATAATTGTTGTTTATTTTGACAAAGCAAAATTAATACATTCCTCTCATCTTTTTATTTTAGGGCATTTATGGTCCTCAACCTTTTCGCTTTATAGCAATTTTGTCCCCATTCAAAATTAATCCCACGCATCACTCCTAATGTATCATTTAATATCTACGTTAGTCCCTAATGGTTTACTTTCCAAACTTAATGTTGAATTGAATTTAAAATCACAATCTTTCCTTTAAACTTTAAATAGATAGACAAAAGTAAAATACAAAATGGGAAAAAACAAAAGACAGAACAAAGAAAAAAAAAGTCTTATTCTTCACAATTTCTAGGACTCCCGAAATATAAAAATTCAGTACTTCCTGTCACTATTTAATTGACATGTGTATGTCTTAGTCCAATTAACTATTGTGTCCTCGTTATTTAACTCATATTCAATTAAAGAGTAATATGGAGTATTAATTCTCCATATTTCGGAAGCACTAGAAATTTTTCCATTCTTTACTCACCCATCGTCTACCCACTCCCAAGACCCCAACTCATACCTAAATTTGCGTCATCTCATCCCTACCCACCACTGCCGTTACCGCCATCGCCGCCGCCACCATCATCGCTTGCACATCTTCCACCACTGGCTCCCCAACCTCATGTCTCAATCACACCAGGCGGGTGTTAAGTATGGCGAGCCGCTTGTCAGGTCCGGGATTTGGCCATACGAGCCGCTCGTCCAATTGAGGTTGAAGACAATTTTGAGTGCAACAACTTCTTCAGTAGGTAAACCTCAAACACGTACAGATAATAATAAGAACTAATTGACAGTGCCAAATTCTTCATCTGCATTGCTTCTCCACTATATTCAACATAAGAATGTAAATGCATTCGGCTCCTCTTCAACTACTTCCCGCATGGCAGGTACTTCCTTCAAAGTCAATGCTATAAGGTGTTTGACTTCTCCTCACTACAAAGTACTGTAGCTGTGCAAAGAGGAGTTACGGATACTGCTCATTGAATTCAACAGGAGTTGATATTCTACCATCTCCTGCACATTGAGAGCAGTTGAAATGAAATTGGAAACTGCTATTTTACCACGGATGATCAACTATCAGCTTTTTTTTACCTTCAATAGAAAAAACAAATATCATCAATATTACAAGGATATCAACACCTTCTGATATATAATGCTGCTCACTGGGTTTCTCATAATAAGCCAAGGCAATCTAGTTTTTAAATCACACATTTAACTATTTGTGCTAAGATTTCTGTGTCCAAACTGTCCTATTGAAATAATAATTCATGAACAAACTTTTAGGGGCATCTCGGATTTTTCAAAATTCACCAAGTTTCAGATCAACTGCTAGCAGGTGATTTTCTGGACCTTAAATACCAAAAGTAAAAGCCCTTAACAGAGAGTTCCATTCAGCATGAAGCTTGGACATATTATGGCAATTAAAGAGATTAACCAACCAATTAACTAAGAATAAACAATAAACGAGAGAATGATCGGCCATATGCAAATTACAGAATACAACAGTACCCAATTCTTATTCCAAGTAAACTTCAGGTTACATGAATTCCTTTTTGCCATCGCTCATTCAATCCAAAACTCTCTTACGAAATGTCCAATGAAATCAATCTTTTGCAACCACCTAATGTAACATTAATTTGGTCTAGCTATCCCTCTTTCAACATGCTTTGTTGGGCTAGCTAAAAGGGATTCTATCCATAAAAGGGAGTGCATATTAAAGTTCAGGAAAGTGACATACTGTCCTCAAATAAAGATACAAGGATCTGTGCATAACCTAGAAACTAAGAGGTGCAATAACTTACATCGTCATCAACTCATTGGATAGAACTTTGTGATTCCTATTCCCAGAAAGGTAAAACATTGTCATCTCTCATCTACAATATATTTACTCAATAAAGAAGTCGGTGGGATAATTCCTTTCCCTTCCATAACTGACAACACTTATTTTAAAATTTTCTTCCCTTTTTTGGTGTCTTTGTGTTCAAAGGAGGGGGCAGGGTTGAAGAACTCCGGGACAGGAAATCTTATCAATCTCGAGTTAATTAAAGATTTTGCTTATGAAAAAAATCTCTGGTAAATGAAATTACAGTCTTGCGATCTAACAATAAAAGTGGCAATGAAATCAAAAGGTAATGCAATTTGAAAATTCAAATACCCGCCACAATATGCTGACCAGTTACCGGTATACTTCAAAGGGGTTTATAGTGTCCATTGTATATCTTAAACATATTCCATTCAATTGGGATAGATATAATGGCTTGACGTCGACCCTACAGGTGGAAATGGCAGTCAAATTCACATCAAAATAACCCTAATGAAGAGATGAAAATGTCAATAAGGATTGTAATGCTCTAAATACTTGCCTCTCCATCTTTAACCAGAGTAGAAATGCTAGTCTCATTTGTGCCGAAAAACAGAAATCTGGTTCCTTGATGACTAGTGTCAAACAGGAGCATTAATTCATTCAATAACTTGGAAAATTGTAAAATTCAGGAGCCTCTGTGCATACTCTTTAGGTCAACAGCAGACACCACCATCTTATCTTTCTTACTGTGTGGTGCCTTCTACCAGAACTCCATACAAGAACACGAGCCGTGCTTAAAATGGTGAAACCGATGACGATCCCTCACAACAATTTCACGATCAAAAGCTTTAGAAATCAATTTTGCTGCTGCATGACAATCGTTGCAGATTCGTAAGTTCTTAATTATTCTTATTGGTGTTGGTGGATGTGTTGCAATGAGGCCAAAGGCAATTGCAAGCTTCTCACTATGTCTAAAAAGATTAGTTTCTTTCTCCTCTTCACCAATATCAAGTAAAACCTCCTCTGTACTCGGTGCATAACCCAGTATCTTCAATCTAGTAACCATGTCTTCCAACATATACTCTATCTCGTTGATCCGAGGATGTGATCTATCTCCAGCCAGGAATTCATGAGCTACACCATTGACCTCAATCATACTGCATCCTGGAATTTTGACCACATCTTTCCGCATCATCGTCTCCCGAATCCCCAGGACATGAGCCCAGTTACCTTTAGAAGCGTATATATTTGACAATAATACATGGAATCCATCATGTTCAGGCTGAAGCTCAATGAGTTTTCTCCCTATTCTTTCTCCCATTTCCTTGTCACCATGTTTCTTAGAAGCTCCAAGCAACGCACCCCAAGTGGCAACATCTGGTGCCATAGGCATACTGTCGATTAGTTCTTCTGCTTCTTTGAGCAATCCTGCTCGTCCAAGAAGATCAACCATGCAGCCATAGTGTTTAATGTTGGGTTCAATGTTGTATACTTTAACCATTGAATCAAAAAATTGGCGTCCCTCTCTTACTAGACCCACATGTCGACAGGCCCCAAGAACTGCCACAAAGGTTATTTCGTTAGGCAGTACACATTTCTTCATATCTTCGAAAATCTCAAGTGACCTCTCTACCTGTCCATTCATAGCGAAGCCAAGAATTACAGCATTCCATGAAGAAATTCCCCTTTCCTCCATGCCATTAAAAACATGCATTGCATTTTCCACGCACCCACATTTCATGTACATGTCAATGAGAGTAGTACCAAGAATTGTGTTAACCTTCAGCTCATTCTTCTGTATGTAAGCATCTATCCATTTTCCTTGGTCAAGTGCAGCTAAGTGAGCACAAGAAGAAATCACACTGACCAAAATGGTCTCGTCGGGTTTAATACCCTCATGCTGCATATCATTAAACAGTGCTAAAGCCTCATGATACCAATCAAGTTGGGTATAACCAGATATCATTGCACTCCATGACACAAGATCCCTCTCAGGCATTGTATCGAATAATTCTCTAGCCTTCTTGACCAAACCACATTTAAGGTATCCAGAGATCATAGAGTTCCAAGATATCAGGTCCAAGCAAAAACCCGTATCGAACAATTTTTGTGCAGCCAATACATCACCACATCGTAAGTACATGAAGATCAAAGCATTCTGAAGATTTACATAGGATTCCAAACCAACTCTTGTGAACAAACCATGAATAGATTCTCCCATTCTAAGATTCAGCAAATTTGCACAGGCAGAAAGCACACTGACAGCCACTACCTCATCTACCTTAATTCCATTATGATACATATTCACAAGCAAATCCAAAGCCTCTTCGTACATGCCATTCTGTTCATAACAAGAAATCAATGCAGTCCAAGAAACCAAATCTTTTTCTTCCATTTCATTAAACAACTGATAAGCCTCACTCACCCTACCTTTCTTACCCAACAGCACAATCATAGAATTTGATGAGATCACATTCTTTTTCGGCATCTTATTGTACATTAGCATAGCCTCCTCAACACTCCCTGTTAAAACATACCCCGCCAACATCGAGTTCCATGAAACTGAGTCCAACACAGGACTTTCATCAAACATCCTTCTGGCATCACTTAGTTTACCACAAACACTGTACATATAAATCAAATTGTTCACCACATAGACATCACAGTCAAAACCCATTTTCACCACATGATCATGCAACTCTCTGCCCTCAAATTCAGCAAATGCAACAGAGCAGCCCTGAATCAAGATTGGATAAGTATAATTATCAATGCATAAAAAACTCTTTTTTAACATTGATTTATATAGAAAGATTGAATCTTGGGCCTGGTTTCTTTGCACGAAAGCCCTCAACATGGTGTTCCAAACGAAACCATTTGTGTTCTCAATGTGACAGAAGATGTTATGGGAATAATCAATGTGGATAAAGTTTGAGTCAGTGGAAAACTTGAGGATTCTGCTTGCGGCATAAGTGTCCTTGATAAACCCAGTGGAGACCATCTGTCCCAAAATCTGACTGAATTGCCTGAATTTTCGGCATCTAATCAAAAGAGTATCTAAAATTGAGAAATTAATTGTTGTTCTTGATATGGGATTTGTGTTAAAAGATGACTTCATGGCTGCAAATGCACTTCGTTTTACTAAATCAACAATCAATAAATTATGAGGGGCTTATAAGTCTTCCTATACCCTCCCAACAAACTTACGAGGGACATAAGTCTCAATAAAACCGCAGTGTATATCAATAAACAAAAAATGAATTAAAGGAGACAATGGAGAGCGAAACCGCATTAATTTCTGGTTCGACTTCGCACCTCAAATTTCCACTTCTTACTAATGAAGACGGTTCTGTAGCCCCGTTACCAATTGAGTTTTAAATAGAGCCTCGAGGCTTTGACCACAAAGTTCTAAGTTGTGTGATGTACATGTACATTGGAGATTTACATCCAGGGTGAGACTTTATTCGAGTGGGTCCCACCCATGTGAGTAGGGTGTAACCCCTCGTGTACATGACTTGATGTACAAGTAGATATTTCCAAGTTTTAATTTGACCATATATATTGACATCACATTTTATTTTATATTATTATTTTGTAATTAAATCTAAGATTTTTAATCTTTATTCATTGTCATAATTACGCCTTCAATAATTTTCAGTCATATTCTTATACAAAACTGAAGAATTCAATAATATATATAAGAAAGAACACAAAAAATTACGTGGTTCGACATCAGTGTGACAAACCTATATCCACAGGAGAAGAGATAAGACTATATTCATTTATTTCCGAAGTGTTACAATAACACATATATAGTCATACTACAACAATGTTGCCTTATTATAGATGCGACAACCACAAAAAGAATATAACAAATTATGAAAACATTCCAAGGGCCTATTTGGTACGGCTCAAAATCTAATTAAAATTGAAAATATAGCCGTTATTGGGTCCCACTCATCTAATAAAAGTCAACAATAACGGCTAGTTTTTCAATTTTAATCCGATTTTAATCTCTACCAAACACCCTCTAGATAAATTCCTATCAAGATAATCACAGAAAGAACATATGGAAACATTCCTATTATCATCAACTAATATTCTTCAAATCACCAAATATCTCCTTTCTCCAACAAAAACATTTCATTTGTTAGCACATCTTATTTCTAATAATATTTTACATGTAAATATTCTAATAATATGTTTTAAAATAGAGGACAAGTATTATATCATACATTTATAAACATTTGTTCTTTTTTATTTATTTTTTATAATATGATGTGGTGATAGCTATAGCGGAAGCGATGTTAATGAAGATTACTGTTGGTGGAAATTGAGGCACTCGGGGCTAGTGGTGGTGCGGCGGTGGACAAGTGTTGATGGAAGGGCTTGGTTGGTGGTGAGGACGCGGGGACGTGTAGCATTGGTCTGGAGAGAGAATATAATCTATTTATTTATTACTTTTGTCTTTTTCCTTTAATTTTTATTTCATGATCTATTTATCTTTTTACTTTTTATATTTTTTGGAGATTAAGGAGTTATGTGACAATCCTTTCGATAACAAGTTTTGACAAAAGTCGATTGAAAAGTTGATAGATTTTTATAGCAGAATATCATCAAACATGCACTGTGTTGTTTACCAATTAAACCCTTCTAAAAAGTGGACATCCCAAACTAATGGATCACTCCATCGAAAAGTCCTTGCACAAAATATTTTTCTAAAAGTTTGGGATGGAAATGTCCGAAAATACATGTTTGATACCCGTGTTGTACTTTTTGTAAAGATTAGGACCCTTGATTTAATTTTCCCCAAAAATTAAAATTCCTAAATTACCCTTACACTAGAATCAATTCGCGAAAGAAAGAAAAAAGAAAAAAGCCCAGTTTGATTCGCCTTTTTGCAGTATCAACAATGGCAGACATTGACGAAGATATCGTAGCACAGTACTTTTACAAAGGCGCGGAAGTTGAAATCAGCAGCAAAGAAGAAGGCTTTCAAGGCTCGTGGTACGCGGGCACCGTCCTTAGCCACAGAAAATCGAAGAGGAATTCTTGCATGAAGGTGCTAGTGAAGTACAAAACCCTGTTGAAGGACGATGGCGCGCGGCGGCTGAGGGAGGAGGTGGACGCGATACAGCTTCGGCCGATCCCTCCGCGGGAGAACTGCTGTAGGTTCGAGTCCAGTGAGAATGTGGACGCGTATTACCATGACGGGTGGTGGGAGGGTATCATAACTGAAGTATTGAGGGAGGATAAATACAGGGTGTTCTTCCGGGGCAGTCGGGAGCAGAGGAACTTTAAGGCTTCCCGGCTGAGGCGCCACCACGAGTGGGCCGTTGGGAAGTGGCTCCCGCCTTTTGAAAAAGGATTCGACGAGTCGCCTCCATTGAAGCGGCCAAAGGTTGAGGTATATTGGTTTTTTTGAGTTTGTTCAGTGGATAGTTGAATTACAATTTCATGTACTGATCTGTTTGAATTGATGTAAATGTATATATGCATGTTAACTATTAGACCAATTGCATATATGCAATGTTTCAAAATTTCAACTTTGTATTCTGAATTGGTGTTCAATCAAATTGTCGTAGTTGAACATTAGTCACAATCAATTGTCAAATCTCATAATTCGTAAGAGAATTGAAGTAGGAACATTTAAGAAACGCAGCCTGTATAGAAGGTGGTGTACTTAGACTTCATATATTATGTATCCAAAAATTACAATTTACATGATAGAATGACGAATTAGGGGTCAATTAACATGTAGAGAATCTCAAGGTAATAGATAGTCTTTTTCTTGTTTCTTTTGTTTGTTTATCCTGTCCATTTTGATTGGCGTATTTGCAATTTTCCTATCTTCTTTGATGGAAACTCGACTGAATGTGTTATATGTTACCCCACATAAATAGAAGTATGCTAATTAGTTATTGGATTATGTTATGATATAGGAGGTGTAATTAGACTCTTTAAAGTTCTCTTGAACTTACTGGCCAATATTTGATGTTGCATACAAGTTTTTTCCTCTTCTCAATGCATTAGTTAACAGGTGTGAATATTTGATGGTTTAGTTGGGAACTTATATGTTTCTGATGAAGAACAATTAGATTAACAGAATTGTTGACAGCTGAGAAGTTTTAAGGTAGTGGATTAAGTTTCTCAGCTAAGCAACTTCTTGATAATAACAAAATAAAAAACCAATCCAATTATTTTATTAAAAAACGAGCATACTCCAAACATTTTAGCTAGGATAGGACCGAAAAACTTGGGGATTATTTCATGCTATAACTGAGATCACGCCATAGCTCTTTAGACTGGTTCCTAATTTGTTGATTATTAGAATGCAATTGCACTGTGCCTTGTATATGCTGATTCTGTAACTAAATGACATTCATGAGAGTACTTCTTTTGCAGTAGAGAAAGCCTATTTAGCTAACTCTATTGCACTCCATGACCATAAGCTTGAGGGGTGATAATGCTTTAGGAGAAATATCATTTTGGTAGAACCCCAAGATTTATGAATGAAATGATTGTGGCATCTAGAGTGGTGCAGTAACTTAGCATGTTATGGCTATGGTGTCGGACTTTGCAGTTGATGGCACATGATGTCCCATCCATATCATCTAGTGATGATATTGTGATTTGCCTAACAAACAAGAAACTTGTGAGTCATTGCTCTCTGGTATGGTGATAGGCTGCAAAATCCATGTTACATCTCGGGTGGCCTTAATTGATTTTGTTTGGTTCTAGGGCATTTTGTTCAAAGCATATTAAGCCCATGTTTGTTTTAGCTAAAAAAGTTGATAAAATTTTAATCACACGTTTCATGGGACCTACAACTTTTATCTACTTTTGAACCACACATTTCATTAACTTTTATCAAAATATACAAAAAATATACTTTGAGCAAAACCAAACAGGGGCTAAGTGTCAACGGAAAAAAAAGTAATAGACTGAGCTGTTGATCTATGTCAAGGCACTCTAAGAAACATGAAATGCCACTTGCTTGAGGAGACAACAGTTTTCTCAAGAAGCATTTAAAAGAATCTGCAACAACAAGAAGAAAAAGCTAAGCCCTTTTTCCAATATCCTTGGGGTTGCTGCATTGTTTTCTTTGCGACTCCTCTCAATCCATTATGTCTACTAAAAATTCAATAAATCGAATTTTTTGAAACCACATTAATTCATATTAAATTTGGTCTATCTATTCATCTTTTAACTGGTTCTACGAGGATCACTTTGCTCTTAATGTGAGCTTCTTTACCTTCAATAAAGATGCTCCCTCCTAAATCGTCCTTCTATCGTAAGAAGATATGGAGGGAACGAATTCACACGCAAAGTCTCGTCGAAGAGTATATTAATTTAAATTTTCTTTCCTTGTCTCAAAACTACAAAATATTATTTTTTCATCTGTCTTTAATTTTTCGTAGAAATTTGTTAGTCACGCTTCGATGTAATTAATTTCTACTAAAAACAATTATATTTGAATATGTATTCAAAGTAGTAGGGTTACTTTTGTTATGAATGTCTTTTGGTATGTTTAATTGCCAATCTATAAACGGGTATTTAAGTTGAAAAATATTAAGAAGTGGATTGCTAATCATTTGCTTTCAGATGCTTTCAAATGTGCTTGATTGAAGTGAAAGTCAATTCTACTAGTTTTATTTCTCAAATTAATAATGAAGTTAATTTGTTAAAATTATGCCCGTGTTTAGTGTAGCTAAAAGATTTTTAGTAGATTTTAATAAAAGTTGATGAAATATATAGAAATGTTAATTAAAGTTGTGGGTCCCATGAAATTTGTCATTAAAATTAATTGTTGACTTTAACTTAAACTTTTATTAATTTTTTAAGCTACATCAAATAGGGACTATATAGCTTGAAATATTTTAGATGCTTGACAGTTATACTATTGGACTTCAAGTTTATAAACTGAAAGTAATTTGTATTTCAAATAAATTTTTTTTATTTGTTTCTTTGATAAATCTAGGGGTTGTAGCCTACAAATTTGAAAGAGAATCTTAAAAGCTAATCTTATAATAAATTGATAGAGCTTTGTTAAGTTTTATATGTTGTATATATTGAGGTCCTACTTATATCTACACTGAGCCTCATTTATTCAAAGATAAATGCTAGATTGTGTAAAATAAACTTAGCCTATGTTTGGCCTCCATTTTTTCAAAAAAATCATTTTTTCAAAATTCATTTTCAACCACACATTCTCCTATAAAATTATATTACACGTAAATCAAAAAGTTTTTTTTATTTTTTAACCACACAATCTCCAACAGAACATTATTAAAAAATGCCATTTTTGCCCAAAATGGGGCTCAAACAAGGGCTTAATATATGCATATGTTTCTGCTGAATTCTCTGGCATGTACATGGTTTTCATATTGGATTCTTGAATTTTTTTTTTCACTGTTGATTTGATTGTTGATGCTTGGGTGGACTTATTTGGACATATATTTTTATCTCTCTCATCCTTGTAAGTAAACTAAGCAAGCTTATAAGCCACTTAAACATGCTCGAAGTCACTATCAACTGGTTTGAAATTGCAAAAACTACTGCTTGACTCAATACCAGAAGCTAGCAAATCGAAGATCTGGGCCCTCCTAAAATGGAGAACCATTCCCTTTTCCCTGCCAAATCAAACTTTTGGTACCTTCTAATGATCTTTGGGGAGCAAATGGTCAATTTTTCTTGGGTTTTTTTTTCCATCCTTTTGTTGGAAAGTTATGATATCCTCTCGCTAATATTGAGAGGGTTCTAAGAGGATGGATAGTATCTAAATGATAGGACTTGAAGTCTTTTCAGTTGAATATTTGAACATCTTTGCTTTTGTTTTATCTTTTCCTCTATTTTTGTGAAATTTAATACCTCTCTCTATGTCTCTCTGTGAAAGAATGAAGGTTCATCTTTCTTTTCTTGGCAAAAAATCGGTAAATATTCTAATATTTATATATTTCACTACAGGAAGTTTCATTGTCAACTAAAGTAAAGCCCAAGAAAAAGACTACTGACAATAATTTTAGCCCAGGAACAACGATAAAAGTCAATAGTGATGAAGATGGATGTCAAGATGCTTCATTTGCTGCAACTTCTGTCAAAAAATCAGGACCATCGGTATCTCAATTTACTCACATATATATGATTATAATTTTGGATGCTTGAATTTTGTTTTTTGAACATTGATTTGGATATTGATGAAGTCATTGTCAACTGGTTTGAGTGTAGAAGAAAGTAGAGATAGTTGGACTGAAGATAAGGTTGAATGCACGTAGAATGCTGCTTGACAGAATTTACTTCACAAGAATCTAACATTTGGCGCCTTCTAATGATCTCTGGGAATCAAATGGTCAAATTTTCTAGGGGATTTGTTCCATGCTAGTTCTGGAAGTGTTGAACCACCTATAAGAAGCACATATGCTGACACACAACACATACAGGACCAAAAGGGGGACAAGCGACGTGTGGTTTTTTAAAAAAGTGAGGCTGACAAGGAGGATACACTCCTATGGCCTTTTTGTGTCCTTCATGTGTTGAGGACATGTTCCTCACCTGTTAGAACTATAAATAATATGAAAAAAATTGATGGGGGTGTGATACAGGCCATGTTCTAAAATGCGCGCAAATGTGCCGCCTAGGTGCGACATCGCGCGAGGAGAAAACTCGTCGAATTCGAGGTATGGGCGGAAAAATGCGTTTTTGTTCTAAAAGACGGCGCGCCTAATCCTACCTAGGCGGCGCATTATGCCACCTAATTTTTTTTTTGGTTAAAAAATCTATTTTTTTTATATAAAAATATATTTAATGCCTTAAAAATACGAAACTCATTATGGCGCTTATTCTTCTCAATGACACGCCTAAACTTGTGATTCTTAATTCTCGACCTCGACGCATCGTAACGCATTACGCATTTTAGAACATTGGATACAGGTGCCCAATATGTATCCAGAAAGTGTCCCTCAAGTGCTGGAAACTGGAAAAATATTTAAAAACTAGGAGACGAGTCCTAGATTGTCCTAGGAGTGTCGGACAAGGACATGGACAAGCCACCCAAGTAGAAGTCCTGTGCTTTATAGAATCTCATTTAAAAGATTAAGCGGTTATAGATGGCACATATTTATTTATTTATTTAAATTAGTCTCCAACTCACCTCCTCACATGCAAGCAAGATTCTTTTTCATGGAAGGCCGGACATATAGTGAACAATTTTCATTAATGGAGGTTTGCGAGTCTTCAAAAAATGATCTTTGCCTATCCTGATACTATTTTAAACCATTTCATCTAAAAGTTTACTGTGATAGTCTGATAGAGAAAAGAAAACATTTATTTATTTAAATTTTGGTGGAAAGTGACTAGCTACTCTCGATTAGTGGCATGGTCCTAAGAGGACTGGATAGTATCTAAATGGTAAGACTTTTGTTTGTTCACCTTTTTCCTCTTATTTTTGTGAACTTAAGCGTTTTCTTTCTATGTGAATGAATGAAGGTTCATCTTCCTTTTCTTGGCAAAAGAATTGGTAAATATGCTTATATCTCTAACTTCTAATTTGCAGGAAGTTTCAGTGGCAACTGAAGTGAAGCCTAACAAAGAGAGAATTTTAAATAATTTTCGCCCTGGAGCACAGGTTGAAGTTAGTAGTGATGAAGATGGATTTGAAGGTGCTTGGATTCCTGCAACTATTGTCAAAAAATTAGGTAAAAAAAAGTACCTACTTGAGTATCAAACCCTCAGGAACGATGATGACACAGAATTCCTGAGAGAAGAGGTTGACAGTTTGCATATAAGGCCATGCCCACCTGACATTGAACTACTTGATCGTTTTGAAGTTCTTGAGAAAGTTGAGGCTTTGTATAATGATGTTTGGTGGGTGGGTATAATTTCCAAAGTTNGTATAATGATGTTTGGTGGGTGGGTATAATTTCCAAAGTTCGAAAAAACGACGAATACAACGTATACTTTAGGGGCTCCAATGAGGAATTGGGGTTTAATCACTCTCTTCTGAGGGCACATCAAGAATGGATAAATGGGAAATGGGTTTTTCCCCCCAAGGTACAATTTCCTGAGTATTCAGATTTACATTTTTCTAAACATACCCATAATTCTGGAGTCTGCATTGAAGATCAAATTTAAATGAATAAATGTGGTCTCTCTCTAACTGCTTCGGCTTTAGATGAGATGGTTATCCGTGCGTCCTTTACATTATCTAGTTCTTTTTTTTTTTTTTCACTTTTTTCTCTAAAATAGTTCTGCAAATGTAGTAACTGAATCACATAATATAAAGTGGAGACATTCATGAACCGGGTATTTTTGTCTCTGTCACTTCTTCTAATGCATCCCTTGTGTCCGCAGTCAACATTACAGTAATTTGTGTTTGAAACTGCAATTTCTACTTACATTTGGCTGATTGTGTGCTTTGCAGGCTCATGATTTGTAGGCATCACAAGGAGAATTAAAAAAGGCTGCAATTTCACTAAATCTGTGATTAATTTTTTTGAACATGTAAATACTTTCACCCTCTTTGATTGAAATGCAGAAGTTCAGATATGCTCTTTTATTGCTAAGGGCTAATTATGTTTTTGCGACGTCTTAATGCATCAGTCAGATTTTGGTTATTCGGGTTTATTTACTTGAAGCAGCAACGTGTTTATCTGAATTTTTAGTTTTTACAGCCAAAATCTAGTGTTGAAATTGCTTCTGAAAATTAGTCGCCATAATGTCATGGAATTTGCACAAAACGTAAGTTACCATCATAGTACCAACTAGATGTGCCAGCCGATGCTTATATTGCTTCTGTCAACTTAGTAGATCTGTTCATTTCTTTGCATAAATGTCGTCTGTTGTTAGTCATTGATGTTTCATCTTCTGAATTCTCTCGGGTTGTAACCCGATTTTAAGTTCTGGTATCGTTAAGTGATGCCTGGAACGAAGCCAATCTTAGTTTCTTCTTTTAGTTTTTAGGTTTACCAGGTGAATTCTTTAATGCATGGAGTGCATGTACACTGAATCTGTATCCATGAATTTGCTTAGAGAAATGCAGAACTGGGAAGCAATGCACACAAGTTAACTGCACTGTATAAATTAAAGTGGAAATTACACAATACCCTACTTTTAAAATCCTCAATTCTAAAATCAGGTGGAAAGTTAAAAATTTCACAATTAAATTTTAAATATTAAATATACAATTTTCATCTCAAATCTAATCAATTTTCTCCCAACTTTCTCTCTCTAAATCT